AGTCGCAATATTTTACTAACCAAAAGGAATAACCACAGAACTGAATTTAATAACTATATGCATGTGCCACACACACACAACAAAAAAGGAAACAGAAGAACCCAAGGCCCCTGCCACAACTCACGCCCAAGCACACACGCACACGCGCAGACCGTGACCCCTGCTCCAACCACAAACACACATAAGGTGAAGTGCAGACAAGCTCAACAGCATTATTTTAAAGTAGAACATCCGACTTTTTCAGGATAATACCAATACTCCCCAATCGCCATAGGTCTTTTATAACAAATAATTTCAGTAGAACAGTCTCAAGTTGGTCGTGACTAATATGCACAAGTTTAAGATATATTACCCATCCAGCGGATTAACTATTCCAGGAATAGAATCTCCAAATGATAATTTGTTAATTTTGTGGCTTATCTGCATGGCATATCATGAAACCAGTAAAGTAATCAGTATTCAGAACTTAAATTAAATAACTGTATAGAGAAGCATTGACCACAGAAAAAGAGATTTTAACACATAATTTATAATTAAACAATTACTCACATTGTAACTTTCCGTCTGTATATTTAGCAAATCGAGCAGCTGGAAATTTTGGTGATGAATGCTCTTACCAGGGGCAAAGTGGAAATTGCCAGCAACTCTATTAACCTCCAGAGATCCATGTATATTGCATCCTTCACCTACTTCCTCTTTTACTTTTTGCACAAAACCTTCTCTTTTGCACTTAATACCATAAACCACGACCAACAAGAGATGATTGTTCAATTGCAGAGGTAAAAAGTTTACTCAGATTGAACATCAATCAGTTTCGGGCTTTTCATTTGTTCTAAAGATAATCACAACCAACCATTCAGGACAAGAAAATTAGCAAACCCCCGTTTCCACCAATTGTAACAGACATCTCACAAATTTTTAGGGGGTGAAATGCTTGTCATACAATAAAACTATAACTTGTCATATAGAAAGAATTTTATCTTAGCCATAGCATCTTCCTTTAATATCTATAAGTGACAATCCCAAATCGAATGGTGTGCAGTTATACAGTTCCTACCTTAATTACTAAATCTCATGCAAATAGAACATATCATAAAGAAAACGTAGAAAACGTGAAGTATGTCATCGCTTTCAGAAGAATATTGGAGACAAATGAATAGAAAAAACTGCTTAAATAATGGTGATGCACTAAGACAGCAAAAGATGTTCCCTATCAACCTGATCAATCAAATCGGTGTTCGTCAGTCCCCAACCTTTCTTACGATATGCTTCACGAACCTCTTCACATGAATTACAACAATCATCATCAGACTGCAAAAAGAAAACTATGGATGTTAACAAAACCCAATCTGGATGTATTTAAGATGATTTTGGCTGCATGTAAAACATGGCACAAAAAAGTAACAAAATAAAAGAAAATGAACATAAGGAAACCGACAATCAACAAAAGACGACATAGGCCCGGATACAGCTCTAATTGAACAAAAAAGAAATAACATAAGTCACTTCCAAAGCATTATTCCAATCCTCTATAGAAGTTCCAAGTTCCATTAATGACAATGATGTAACCAAGTTTAGCAGAAACATGACGGTTATTATGCCAAACTGGTTAGTTAACCATGCAAAAGCATGTACCAAAATACACACACACACACACACACCATATAAGTACCTGCATCCCTACACCCAACTCTACCCAAAACAGACAGAAAAACCATTGTCCGACAAAGTAAATAAAGTAAACAAATATCCAGGTGGAAAACAGTCTGTAACAGCAATTATATGAAAAATGATCATGAATCAATCACATGATCAATCTAGCCTGGGAAGCCATCGCATGCCATCATAAATCATAAATGCAAGACTAAAGATTATTGAGTCAAATTGCAAATTGTATAATTTATCTGCTTCCAGCTCAGTTTGCAAAACGAGTGAATAACCGAGATGACACTAAAAAGTAACGTAAGTACCGCTTCGGCACCAAAACATGATCCACAGTATTTCTCATTGTGCTCAAGCCGTCCACCATGTCTCTGCAAAGGCCTCTCAATCTGAAATTAAAATATTCAAACATGATATGAATAAAAATACCCAATCACTGTATTAACTTTACCATTCAAGAAATTTACTAGACTCGATTGGAGCACTTCAACATATTCCATAAGACTGGTCTTACGAAGAAAAAATGTTACCATCAAAGGATGAAGGCATAATGATATCTTAAACTTGAATAACAATTCAGTTCAAGTACTTCAGAAACATTGGGAAATCATGCTGATGATAATCAAGCTCAAATGGAAAGAATCAAGCTCATCATCGAATACAACATCAGGTTCATTCACTGCCAGTTCATGACCTAAGCACATGGCTGAGGTTGATAGTGGAACTATAAACAGATGCATAAAGGACATGATAGATCAGGTACAAAGAGAAAAAAACTGTCTTCACTTACCTTGGGTGCACCAATTCCATCTTGCCTCACTTCTATTACATTACCATGAGAATCAATCCTTTTCTTGAATATATCATGCCTCTGCAAGTTCAGTGAAGCATGTGAACACATCAGAAGAATAATTTGTAACCATAAAAAGGTCAAGAAGGAAAATAACACTGCAAAGCTGCATGTGTCACACAATAAGATTAGCTGCTAAACTACGAAAACAAAATGAAAGAAAGAAATGTAAAATGTATGCCATACTATGTCCATATGTCGCTCCCCACTGATATCCATGGTGTCCAGACTCAGTAATGTACATGGTATGGCTGGAAAGGTTACATCAAACTGCATGTATTGACATGGAAAGTAAATCTTCACATATGACCAAAACAAAATAAAACTAGAAAGGAGAATTAATAGCTGATGCTCAAGTTTCAACCAATATAAAAGTATAATGTGATAGACAAGATTATCATAGTTTTAGTTTAACTGGGCAATCCAAGAAATCACAAGTCTAATCGATCTGAAAGACTAGCTAACTTGAAAAACAAGAAAATTAAAGTCCAGAAGACTTAGAGTTAAAGGTGAAATATCATATGGAGCTTCAACACATCAGGCAAATGAAAAAAAAATCAGATTTTTGACAGAAAGCAGTTATCTTACATTGATACGTAATTTCCCTCCCCTAGCCGTGTCTACCACAAGTTTTGTTTCTGTCACTGTGTGAAGGTATAATCCTGCACATTGGAAAGCCATTAAATATGATATCCAATCTACAGAAGAAACAGTTAATGCAACATCAAGCAGAACATTTGATATTATGCGCCTCAGAAGTAATCGATGAACAATATGATCAGAAACTGACAAAATAGTTGCAGGGTGGCAGTGGGATCACTTTTTTAAGGCCTTTGAACTAACCCCAGAGAACAACAATGCAACAAATCAATCATTACAGATTGTTTATGCATTTCAGACTTGCATTGAGTTACAGTAACAATTTGAGCAATGAGTCAGTGAACACTGAAAATCATTGGCCTCTTGAATAAACAATTTATCAACTTTCATCCTATTTAACCAAAACAACCTTTTCCATTTTTCTTCTCAACGTTCTGGTCTCACCGAACCACAACCACATAACTCGTCCGTTCAACCATATAGAAGATTTTCCCATCTTCTTTTATACTCCAAAACTAATATAGTTGATGCGAGTGTCTAGACTACATTTTTTAACTGTCAACCTATATCATCTCTAACTAACTCAATTATAGCAAATCAACTATAGAGACGCATTAGCGGCTAAATTGTAACCTCGTGATATTCCCCAAGGTTCACTTATTTTAACTCAGTATTTACAAGCATCCGAAGTTCTTGCTAACACTAATTACACACGTAGATTCACCACCTTCATCTCCTCTCAAATTCATCACGATCACATTCAGCATACACCAAAAAAATCCACGAACTTGCAGCCCCACAAAATTATAAACAAGAACCCGTTATTTTCTTCTGCTAAAACTTACAAAAATTAAAACTTTATTCCGTAAAACAAACAAGCAATCAAAATAACCATACAACAAAACAACTGCACTAATCATCGCAGAAAAATACATACTGAACTCGGAGAGGAAAAGCAAAGCAATGAGGATCGAGGAGGCGAGCGTGATGACGCCACCGGATAGCGTTCGGCTGTAGAAATCCTCATTGATTTTGGGGTACGCGTCCAGATTCCGAAGCTTATTGTAAACTCTGTCCATGATCTTCACACAAAAATTAGAAAAAAAA